CAGGGGAGGGGTGGGAAGGGAGGGGAGGGAAAGCACAAATTTATTTTTGTTACGGGTATCTGGCCTTTATAAACACTTGCTTTCCCTATTCCGGTGTCCCGGTCTCTGCTCCCTTGTCCCAGGGGTTCTGTGGGGTGGGTGGGTGCAGAGCTGGTGGGTCAGAGCATGGGGAACCCAAGCCATAGAGCCCCTGCCTGCTGTCCCATGCTCCTTTCCTAATGGGGATGCTGCAGAGCCTGCAGCGCGGGCAGAGTGGGCTCTTCAGCCTGCTGCTCCTTGCCTTGTGTCGAGGAGGCTCTTTCCCACAGTCCCTCTATGCATTTTAAGTCTTGACTGCAGGACAAATGTGAAAATGCATGTAGATGTGAGTGCGATGCACTCTGTGCTGCTCAGAAGCCACACGTGGTGCCTGCCCCACAGGGGGAGATGCCAGAGATACCCACGGAGCCACCTGAGCCCCCAGGTCTGAGCCTAGCACTGTGCCCCCCGGTGCCCCCAGGGCACTGCCCCTGCTGGGAAACAACAGCTGGCCCTCTTTGCTCCCGCTGTATTTTGGTTGAACACCTTTCCCATGCTCTCAAGGAGCAGTACGTGCTTACAACTGGGAAAAATGCTGCTTTGCCAACGAGAGCAAACCTACAGAAAAGCAGGGGGAGGCTGGCAGTTGGGCAGGATGGGAGGCTCTGAGCACCTCACTGTCAAGCCATGTGCAGTGACCTGGAAATCCTTCCCCAGAAGTGGAATTGAGTGTGTTGGAACGTTAGAACAGGTTGGCAGGACTCTCCGAAAAGCTCCAGCTGTGTTTTGCATGCTCAGGAGGTTTTGGTAATCACTGTGTGTGCCCAATGCCTTGTTACTGTCAGAGGTTCTGTTAGCTCAGCTGAACTCCTACAGGGCTGTGGTGAAGCTGTATGGGTTGTGGGCTGACACAGCAGTGTTCCATTGGGTACCTTGTCCATGCTGGTGGGGTGTGTGGGGTTCACACCCCGTGTGCATGTCCTTAAGGAACGGGAGATGTCAAGTATGATGCCAGGTAGCAAAACTGCAGTGAGCAGGACCAGCTCCCCATGTGGGCGTTGCTTCCAGACACGTCTTCCTACAAATAGAGAACGTGATGCAAATCTTCTCCTCCTTGCACCAAGCCTTTTCTGGCAGTGAAGCAATGCTTTAGGGCCACCAGCCACCAACAGGAGTGTGGGACCCAACAGAGCACACCCCACTGTCCCACAGGCACATCTGAAACCCATAGTGGTGGTTGGATCTATGCACATTTGGAGGCTTTGGTGCCCAGCCAGGCCTCATTCCCTACCAACAGATGCATGAGCACATTGCAAACCCCATGGTGTTGGGTGGCCTGGGAGAAGGAACTGCTTGGTGCTGGTGGGGTGGTGAGGAGGAAACGGTGCTGGAAAAGTGATGAGGGGTCCCAAAATTCTCAGTATTCCTACAAGCTGGCCTATGCAAAGTGCAGAAGGAAAAAGCTTGCCTTCCCCAAGTGGTTCCCACTCTGTGGCTTCTCTGCCACGTGCTTCCTTTTGGGGTGCGTGTGCCTGCCTGTTTTTTGTGCTGGAAGATTCAGCATCCCTTCTCTCTCCTAGGGTACAACTTCTTAATATCCCAATGCCTTCCTCAGCTGTGTGGCAGAGCTCAGGCTTCATTTGTGTTATCCAACCCTGCTGCAAAACGCTCTCCTGCAGCAATCTTGTAGAAGAGGAGAAATACAGAGGGTGAATAATGACTTCTAACTGTGAGCAAACGGTTAGCCCTGCCTCAGTATCCTCTGTAATGAAGTGTGTAGTAGACTTCATTCACTATAAAGGCCTTACCTGACAGTGTGACAATAAAGGTGAATTCCCCATGCTGTACGGCCGGTTGCTAATACTGGAATCAGTTCTGTTGTCATCATATAAAAACAAAACCTTTGGTGTTTGTTTGTTTTTTTTTTGTTTGAAGTTAAGCTTGGAGGTGTGATTAGAAGTTCTTTTTTATTTTTATTTTTTTTTTTAAATCTTCACATTGTAACATTAATTTATGGCTGAGTTTCATTCAGTCCTGTATTCTGAAGTGCAGTACAGGTATTAGTGATGCGTTCTCTGTAACATGGTACTGTAGAGTAGCCCATTTGTTAAAAAAAAAAAATACAAAATAGTAATAATAATAATAATAATAATAATAATAAAAAACAAAATGGAAAGAAAAAAAACCCACAAAAAAGAAAGTCTGATTAAAAAATGTAAATCAAGTATTTTGTGGTATGTACAACACAAATTAATTTTACACAGAGAAAGATGTTTCTAGGAAAATGAAATTCTGATAATTCATACTATTTGTATGAACAAATAAAAACTCTATTTTACCAAGCGATGGGTGCAGCTGCATTCGTTCGGGCTGAGGGTGCTCCCCAGTTGGGTTGGGCATTGCTGGCTCCATGCAAAGCCCCAGGGTGTGTTTGGGAGCTGGAGGCATCCTTGGGTGGAGTTTTGCTCAGTTGCATGGCGTGGGCTGGTCTGACCCATCCAACACATCTCATCAAATGTGATTTGGGGGAAGAAGACCCAAAGCTTGCCCTCAGCCCCACTGCAAGACTTGGGTGCTCATGGTGGATGGTGGCCGTTCTCCCATGCTGGGATGCTGGAGGATGGATTTGGTCCTTCCATGCTGTTGGTGTGGGGGACCTTTCCAGCGTCAAGCTTCTTTCCAAAGCTTTGCAGTCACTGCACTGATGCTGGTCCAAACCTCTGGGGCCAGCGGTTGCTGCTGCTCCTACACACTCAGCACTTTAAGACATAAAAATTCATTATCATTAAGTTCAGAGGAATCCCAGGCCAGTGCTATACAAAGCAGCGCCTAAAGAGCAGTTCAGATTTATGTAACAGGGCAATTGCCATTGAACTAAACTGAATTAAAATAATTTAATTTTTCTTAGCAAGTCTTGCATCCGGTGCGGAGTAATTGATGGAATCTCTCAGATTGCCCATTTTTCAGAGACAGGGAATGGCAGTCAGAACTACACACAGGGCGCAATGGAGCGATTTAAGAGGAATTTGACCCACGTGCCTCCAGCTTGTCAGGATTTTAATCAGCTGCTCCCAACCTCAGGCAACACTAAGACTATAGGTGAGTCGTTTTTAAGATGTATAATCAGTGCAGATTTTACTTTAAAATTCCCATATAGCTTATTGAATGTTGCAGCTGGATGTGCTGAGAGCTGACCTCAGGTGAAGGGGTTGAGCAGCTCCTTACCCTGTTCCCACTTTGCCTGGGTCCCATTCAAAGCCAGGTGCTCCTGGAAGATAAGAGTGAGGGTTCTCTGATTAGGTTCTGAATATAGAGGAGCGTTTTCCTTGAAGGAGGGAAGCTGAAGTCTTCTGGTGGCTCTGGGGACCTCTGTGGAAGGAGGAGACTCCCGAAGAGCTGGAATGACGTGATCGAGGAGCACATGAGGCTGAAAGATTGGTGCTAATGATGGTGATTAGTGGGGTGGATTTACTTTTATCTCATGTGGGCAAGGCACAAAAGTCAGGTGTGGAATTTGTAGAGATGAGTCTGCTTTGACAAAGACACTGATGAGGTCAGTGGTCTTTGTGGGGAGCTTGTAGTTGTTGGGTTTGGGGCCAAAATAGTTCACTTGAGGTAACTCTGAAGACTGAGATGCTTTTTGCTTGGGCCTGGCTTCAAAGAGAGGTCACTTCTGTGAGCATTTTCCCTGGGATTGGTGTGCACTGTGTACCTCCCATACCAGTTGCTGGTGGCCCTGGTTCCCAAGCCGCCGAGGAACCACAATTGGGATTGCTTTGCTTCTCTTCCTCAATTATCTGTGTTTTTCTTCCCCTTCAAAAAAAATCTCAATTAGCCACTAGATCTGAATTAATAGCTTTAAATAAAGCCCTTCCTTATTATCCTCCAATTTCTCTCCGTGGTTAAGAATCACAGTGTTAGCTCTTAATACATATATTCAAAAAGGTAACAGCAATAAATTAGTAATAAATCCTTCAGGCGTTTCTATGGGAGACAAGTGTTCAGCACCTTCTTTAATGGCCTCTTTATTGGAGGGAGGAATCCCTGTGTCAAACATTGACATTGGCACCTTTGGCTGGGATAGAACTTCACATCCACTGTGAGTTTGCAGAACTTTGGGCCAACACTGGGATTCCTCAACACTGGGAGGAACCAACTGGTGTTGAAGATGGGATAGCTTGGTGAGAAGAGTTTAGAAACAGGGAGATCAACCAACCTATTAGCCCTATTTACTGTTGCTTCCCTTTGTTTTCAATGGATCACAATCCAGTCCTCTGTGACTTCTAGATCCTGACTTTTGCCTTCACAAATGGGATTTAAATAGGATTGCTGAAGTCAGCCACTATCGCTGTAACGATTCAGAACTGAAGAGCATCCTTGAGGAATATTTGCAACTGTTTATACAGTCAGCTATAATTGTGAGGCTTAATTCATGCTCATTAAAGTCTTCTGAGGTGCTTGATGAGAGGCACTGCAGCAGCACAAAGTATTTCTGGTTATTCAGGCTGCTCACAGCAATGGAGTCGTTGCCATTTGTCTTGGCTTGATTTCTTCCCATCCCACCAGGAGCTGCTGGGACGACACCAGTAACAGCTGTCCTCAGAAACCAGCTCAGAGCTGGCTCTTGTTTAAGTACCATGCCTTGATAACAACCAAAGCCCTGAACAAAAGAATCAAGTTTTAAAGTAACATGATCAAAAATCTCTTGGCAGGGAAGATGCAACTGGCTGCTTTGACATGTAGGTTATTTAGCTGGGAATTTATGTGTCAAAAGCTTAAAAGCTTCACTGAAGCAAATTTAAGAAAGCGCCATGTATCCAACTAATTAAGTC